ACTTAAGAAAATGCTTTTTTAAATACAAATAATTATAATTAACCTTAAAGAAAATAGCAACTACATAAATATACATTGAACAACTCAAGTACTCTAATATAGCCTTATAATATGATCAAGAGATTACAGTTTTCTTTAAAATTAAAAACCAATATGCTAGGAGCCAAAAAAGTTGCATCTGCCAGCCAAAGCTGTACTACAACTCCGTTCAGATTCCATTAGTTGAATGGAAAACGAGCAGATCAAGTTGAACAAAGGATAAGCAACTTTCTTGCTAATTCCCCTGGCATTTGTCACCGCACGTTCCATAATATCCTGGCATTTACTCGTTTCTCCCTGCAATGCATGCAATTGTGGTTTTTTTAATTGCCAAAAGTCCCCCCAAAAACATTCTGGCCCTCCTACTTTCCTGCTGGCCAAATTTAATTTATGCAACGTTGCGTATTTGCCATTGCGATTATGTCTCCATTTTCGGCCAACAGCCCAGGAACGTGTTCCTGTCACGTGTGCCCCGCTCCGCTCGTCTGGCGTCTGGGATTTTAAGCGGATTTATTCAATTATCATTTGTCGTGCGCCTGAAAACCCAACTGAAAATTGCCACATTGTTGCAGAATTTTTCTCTCCCTTTAAACCGAAATTATTTGACTTTAAACTCGGAAAATTCACCAAGTCACAGATGCGAATTACTTTGCGGAATTATAAATGAAATTGTTACGTGTTTTTGAAAATGTCCAAAGTATTAATGCTCAAATTAGTTGTCGTTTTTTCAATTCTACAAGTCAATTTGAAATGTGAGGAAGTAAGAAGGGGAAATGATAATGCAGCCAGATGTAAATCTTTAGACAAATATTTGCCTTGACTTGCAGCCGACTGAAAGGGGAGCACTTTCAAAAAAGTTTTATCTGGATGTATTCACTCAAAGGGGGACATTATTGAAAATGTTTATGTAATGTAAAAACGCCTGGTACTGCGTTAAAATTGTCACGTACCACAAAGTGGATGCATTATTCCTGCGGGCTGTAATCGAGCCTTATCCAAAAAAAGGGAATTAAACGAAAGGGGGACCGGTAGATCAACCACAAAGTAATATGGCGATAATAACCACCAAAAGGGGAGGGGACTGGTCTGAGTACCCGAAAATACTTGTTCCGGAAAAGGCAGCGATAAACGTGATTATGACAAGCGATTAGCGACAAGTGACACTCGATTCAACAGAGGGGGGAATCCTGGCGGAGGGTTTACTTCTTGGGGAGTGAGAGTTGCGTGTCGGAAAGGAAGGAACCTTCACTGCAAAAACTACTTGGAAACTATCTTCATTTGTTATTAGTTTTAGGTTTTTCTTCAAATATTAGTTTCATTTTTCAAAAACCTAAACTAAAGAATTCAAAACCGAAAATTCTATTTTTCAAATAAATTAATGTTGTTTGAATTTCTATAGTATAAATGCTACAATATTTTAGGTGGTTATAAACTAAAACTCATTTCTAAGAATTATGTGTTCGACTTGTGTATTAATTTTATAAAATGCTCATATATGAGATAAGATTTAAGTAGCCAAGTTATTTTAATAATGGTTCTATAATAATGAAAGTTTTGGAAAATTTTAGTCTTGATTTATGTATTAATTTAAAAAACAAAAATAATGTTTATCAGAAAAGATTAAGTATCCAAGTTTTTTTAGATAGACTTTCCTTAGGCTTAATGAAGATGTTTAGATGTACAATACTTTAATTAAACATTCTCTATGACATTAATAATATTAATATCATTCTCTATAAGATATGGACTTTCAATTTATCCATTTCATACATATTTTCTGGCAGTGTGCTTACCTTCTTCGCTTAGCGGGACGCCGGCGTAGTCGCCACCGCCACTTACTTCCTGCTGCGGCAGGGGTGAAGACGCTCCCGTTCCCAATCCCAATCCCGCTCCCGCTCCTGCTGCCGCCGCTGCCTGAGTCGGCGTTACCGGTACCGCTGGCGGCGCCGCTTGCGTCGGCGTCAGCACGCGCGGTATTGAGCCGTGTCCGCCGCCGCGCCGCGTGCTGCCCCTCGGACGTCCGCGTTTGGTGCCGCGCGGGTGGTGACGTCGCCGCATCGGCGAAATGCCGCTCAGGTCGCCGAGGAAGTCTGCAAGGAGAACGGAAATTTATAGGTGACTCGGTATTGATTAATTGCGGTCGGGCCGAATCCACAAACATCTGGCCCAATATATAACACAAAAAACAAACATTAAAATGGGAGTTTCGTTACATTTACCACAATTTTATGGCTCGCCAGCCCAAATGACTAATTAATGGGGATGGGGCATGGGTTTCTTTTTTGCCGGCTGCTTGACGGAGATCCCTTCTTGGGTTTCCTGACAGAAATCTCTCCAAACGCCATCACCCACTACTATTCGCACCATCGTTATTTGTGCCATGACCATATTCGCCCATTTAACGTGTTACTTTTTATGCCCCAGAGACAATGGCAGAATGGCAGCAACAAACAAGTTCAACTTTTATCGTGGCCCAGACTTCACCGAAATGCCAAGGAATAAATAAGCGGAGTGCCATATTTCCATATTACATGGAATTCTTAACCCACAGACAATTTTACAAATATTTGTTCTTGGCAAAGTGATTGAAGGAAAATGTTATAATATTGTAAAAAATATAAATTAGATTGTGTAAAGAACTTATGGGGAAGTTTAGAATATAAGAACTTAAATATGTAACATTTAAAAACCAAATATTTGTTGTACAAGGTTTCTTTTAATTGAATCCATTATCATAATATACATATACAAATATTTAATACAGCTATCTTTACCTTTATATTTACAAGTTCTCTATAAAAACCCAAATGGTAGTTTGCCAATTCTAGGGTTAAACATATCTATATCAATAGTTATATGTCACCGACTTTCGACGGCTTAACTGTAAATTGTATAAATAAAACAGAGACAACAAACAAATAAACAACGACGGGCTCAAAAAAGTTGCAATCAGCGGGCAGACGAACATTGTCAGACAACAATGTTGTTGTTCTACTGGTTCTATTTCCCCAGTTGTTGTTAGGTACGAGTGTATCTTGTCTGGTGTTTGGCGACAGTACCTGGCGCTGAGCTATTTCGGTATGCAACGCACACAAGTGCCAACAGCATCATCACAGAGGCAGCAATCCGATGATCATCGCCTCATGAGATCGACATTATTGTCTAGTCTGTGCAGTGATCATCGCCATCGACAGTCGCCAGAGGAATTGTCTGCCAGATACAAGCTATGTATGTTGTCCCCAACTCTACTATATCTCTATAGACCCGAAAGAGAGAGGCCCCATAGCAGTCTGTCTCCTTTTAATGATAGGGTTTACTTTTACTGTTACAACAACGAGAACGAGAACAACATTAACGGCATTGCAATATTATTGAACTGAACTTTGGATTTCCAGCCATAAGTTTTATCAATAATATTCAATCCAAGGCAATTCACACAGCACAGAAGAGGTTTTTTTGTTGTGTTTTTGGCAATTTGTTCTTGGTTTGTTGCTGCTTTTGGCATGTATTTCGGTCAAACGTCGCGGCATTGCAGCAAAACATCAAAAACACCAGCAACAACCAAAGTTTCGCTTTTTAGCATAATTCAGCTGTCAACCAGGGGCGAGGGGAATTGCTGGAAAATACCAGGCAAAATGAAAATGTTGAGCTTGATGGATGAAGTCTAGCTAGGGTTAGGCGCGATGATTAGGGAATGACAGCTGAATAGAGGGGTTAAAAATGGCCTTTTATGGAAAACGAAGGTGAGGGAGAGATACTTTAAAAATATTGCAGAATTTAAATATATCTAAATTCTTAAGTTGATATTTAAGATATTAAAAGAACCACTTGAAAAAATGGCTACAAAAATAAGAATTAATATTATTTATTATAGTACAGATTTTAAAAAATAAAAAATATTATACTGTTAAGAAAACACTATTTATCATAAGCAAAACAAAGGTTTAAAATCTGCCATTTCGTTCCAAACCGAAAGGACTCAATGTAACCCCTTAAAAGTTCTTCAAAAAATCCTTTGACACTACGCCCCTCGTACACCCACCGAACTTCCGGCTCCCATTATCAATAGCAAGTATTCCCTTCGCCCCAGTTGTATTTATGATTGTAATAAATATTTTCGCTTTTGTTTGATTTGCTGCTTGCTTGTCGGTTACATTTACTTCGTCTGGGCCCTCTCCATATTGCCAATTGACACGAAAGGCCAAAAGGAATAGCAACAACGAAATTGCAGCAAGCAATGTATGACAAAAAAAGAAGCGGGAAGTAAAAAATAAGCAGTATAAGAGAAGGAAGCTCAGCCCAGCAGCAGACGAGAAGCAAGAATCCGGCGAGCATAATCGGATTTCACAAATCATTCATTCAATTATCTAATTGATTTGACTGATGATCATTTGTGAACCTTGATCCTAGCTCCCTGGGCCCGGTGCCAAAGTCAATGTGACGCATGTTTGTTACGCCTGATAAACGAAGTGAAAGAAGGGAATCTCGGCTCGAAAGGCCTCACCTTTGACTGTAATGCGCCGGCCATGACTAAGTGGCTCTTTGGATCTGTGGATCTCTGGCTCCTTGGCACTTTTTTCCCGGACACCGGGCCCTCCTCTTCCTCCTCAGATTTGCAGGCTTAGATTACATTTCGCTGTTGTTGCTGCCGGCTACTGTAAGCCATAAAAAGTCGTATAAATTGCGATTCTTATCTGTGGGAAATTGTTAATTTTTTAACGGATTTGCCAAAGTCGGCGGCAATCCGAAGAGAATGGGTATACTTATTTCAGTTGTAGTAAAGTTCTCAGAGTGGATTTATATATGAATCTTTAGGACTGAAATGTTTTGAACATAAACATTAATGGAAATACCTTATAAACAGTAGGGAGGATCCATAACAATTAAAAGGAATTATTTTAAGGGATTATAATAATACGTATAGTTACAGTTTTAAAAAGAAAAATATCTTAAAATGTAGGTTTCTTTACCACATCATATATTTATTATCATAAGCAATTATATTGCATTGAAAACAGTTACTTTGGACGCCATATAACTCTAAATCACATATAAAAATACTCGTATTCGGGTCGAGACACCGGCTTGGAGAGATATAGCAATCGGATCTGGTGGAGTCGCCATCCCTGGGGAGTGAACTTCTTCCTCGGTGGCGGCTTGACAGTCAGGACGTCGTAGATATGATCCGGATGATAGCAATGTGGTGGGAATTGCGGAGTGATCTTCGGTTTCGACAGGCTGAGGATGCGGGGAGTTATCCTGGCCTTGAGAGCGGCTTTTCTGATGGGAAAACGCAGTTCGGCCCACCATTTGTCCTCGATGTCCGCGTTGAAGAAGCAGCAGGGTTTCGTCGGGGGTTTGAAGGGTCGTCCCTTATCATGCAGGGGTGGCTGACCCCAGACAATTATGGGGGAGTACGGATGAACTGGGTAGATGTACTGGTGCTTTGGTGTCATCTTCCGTTCCAGTGGCGTGGCCAATTTGGCCACCTTCTCCTGGAATTCCTCGGGATCGATAACTCGTGGCTTTCTAGCGCATGGCAAATACTTTGGAAAGCAGGGTATGGGCTGCCTGACCGGCTCCGGCAGTTCCTTCGGCATGGCCCTGGTCGCGGCCCACTCGTAGAAATCCCTCCAGTGGGCCTTCTTCATCGGGCCAGGAGTCTGCCATCTGGTCAGATAGCGCTTCTCCCGGTACAGACGACGCTGGATCGGCTTGGCATTCCGCTCGCACCATTCCACCCAACTCGGTGGCGGCTTCACCACGCTGAGGACACTCGCCTTGGTATCCTCCTGTATGATGCTCATGGTGACCCGATCACAGATTTAAAATCACTTAAAATTTAGCAAATGTTCAAACTTTATCTAATTGAAAAAATATCAAATTTTTGTGTTCTTATGGCGGGGGTTAATAAAATAGTAAAGTTCTCAACGGGTTGAGCTATAAAATCATACTGATTGCTAAAGGGGAGCCTACTTGTGCAAAACATTTTGGGTTACACCAAATTTTAAAAATCTTTAGTGCCAAGGATTTAAAGAATCCCAGAACAACTGCATAATTTGTAGATTTTAGTAGATATTACTATTTCTATTATTTATTCTAAACTATTTCATTTTTAGCTCTCATAGTTCCCATTGTAAGGATCAGCTCGTATTATAAATTAAGTAACTACATGTATAACAAAAGTTCTTTCATTGTTGATGTATATTATTTAAAAAGATGGTGAAATGGGAACAACATAGAAGAGTCCTTCGGCCTAATCGAACTACTATAAATGAAATTTACGGTAAGCCCACCTAACACCCTTATGGAATCTCAAGTGAAATATAGAGTCCAGAACAAGCTTTAATAAATAAATTTCGACTTTGACAAATACAAAGAGCAGCAGAGGTTGTTAAATGCTATAAAATAAGTAATCCATATCATTTCTCGTAACCGGCTTAGACAAATATATGAGTCGGATCTGGTGCAGTCGCCATTCCCTGTTGGTGAACTTCTTCCTTGGTGGCGGCGGAACATCCAAAGGATCTGGTACCTTTTCCGGAATGGGACAGTGCGGAATAGGTGGATACATCCGTGGTTTGGCCAGACTCAAGATGCGGGGCGTAACCTTGCCCAAGAGGGCTGCCTGTCGGACAGGAAACCTTAGATTCGCCCAGAATTCGCCCTCTAGTTCGTCGTTGGGAAAACAGCAGGGAACGTAGGGTGGTTCAAAGGGTCTGCCGGGATCGCGATGCGGTGGTTTACCCCAAATGATCGCCGGGGAGTAGGTTGGCGGTCGGTCTGTCATATTGTACTTCGCGGTGATCTTTCGGGGTTTGGCCAACATCAGCATTCTTTCCCGCATCTCATCCTCGTCCAGTTGGCGCTTTTTTCGAGCGCAGGGCAGGTATTTGGCCAAGCATGGGAGTTTCGCAGGTTTCTGGAGCTCCGGTTCTCTGGGCCTCGCTCGAAAGGCAGCCCAGGCGCAAAAATGCTTCCAGTCCTTTTTGGTCATCGGTCCGTTCTTCTGCCACTTGGTCAGCTTTCGCATCACACGGGGCCTTTTTCGGTTCACCGGCTTAGAGTTCCGGTCGCACCAAGCCGCCCAAGGAGGCGGTGGCTGTTGCGGTTGCACTTGCGTCTTTGATTTTAAAGCGTCCATTTCGAAATAATTATAGGAGTCTACCGGCGCTATCGACGGTTCTGTACTCTTCGATTTACCCGAGTAGGTTCCAAAGAAAGGTTCACTTGTCATTTTTATAATTTTTTAGGGCCTTTTCTCTTTTTTTTTTTAAATTTTGAAGCTGTTGCTTTACGACTGCCTGTCTGATTACTGCCTGATCACAAGGAGATTACTTCTCCGAGTGACCTGAAGAGGCCTACTGTTAAATGTTAAGTACATTACTATTTTATTTAGGTTTATAGATTTTGTATGATCTTTCTATCTTAACAATTTCAAGTGTATTTAAACTGATTAATCCTATACAACAGTTCCATCGACTAAAAACGGAACACCTGTTTCTTCAGTTAACGGATCTGTAGTATAGGATTAATCTGTTTGTTCCAACAGCAGCAGCAGCAAACTAGCTCCGCCATAACCCGTGGATTTGGTTTGGATAGAAATTCAAGGCGCTGGAGATGATGACGCCACTGCCGCGGTGACATTTTCCGACGTTTTGGCATCTGATCATCGAAATTCATGGGCATCGAACAGTGCGGTTTTCGAGGTAATTGACGTGGTCGGGATAGTTCACAGATCTTCTTGCTGGGACAGGCTACGAGTGCCTTCCGGGAGATAGGGAATCGCATGTTGGCCCAGAACTCATTCTCGAGATCCACATGCTGGAAGCAGCACGGAACCGATGGCTTTTTCACGGGTCTACCGCGTTCCGGACGTGGAGTCCTTCGACCTTTGAGATGAGGTCGATAGGGAAATTCCTCCGGCGTCGGTGGAATATACTTTCGGCGCTGCCAACGTGGCATACTCAATCGTTGTTGGTTCTCTCTCAAAAAGTCGTCATCCTCGGAAGTCGGCTTGCTATCTTTTCCATTTCTAGTGGCAGATAAGGTAGGTTTGCCTTAAGAATATAATGTCACAAATTCCTTCTTCATTTAAAAGGAACTTTTTAAAAAAAGTATTACAAAAATACCAGAAAGTAAAGGTTATTTCGTATTCCAAGCAGCAAACATTTTTAAAAGTTTTATCAGCAAAAGTTAAATTTTTACAGTAGAATTATTAAATAATTTGCTGGTATACATAAATCGAATTTTCCTTTAAAAATTCGTTGTTTTTCCATTTGCTAAAGAGCTTTAAATTTTACCTGTCTTGATTTTGCTTGCCTCCCCCTAATCTTTGTTCTTTGCGTAATGCTGCACTGGCCATTGCATCAACTTGATAGCTGCTGTGAAAGTTGGCCCACTCATTCCGGCCCATGGGTCCCGGTTTTTGCCAACGCGTGGGTTCCGGGCGGACGAGGGGAGTGACTACCGGAGACTTGGGTTTAGAGTTCCGATCGCACCATTCCTGCGTCGAAGCCCGGAGCCTTATCGCGGTCTTCATGATTTTGAATTTTTGTACAAAGATCAAATAAAGGTCCAAATGGTTTACTCTTGAATTTGATTTTTTTATGAATTTTCATTGAGCGTTTTTTGATTTTTTCATCGACTTTTAGAAACATCTTGGCACAGAATTTCACCTTGTTCAATTCGAGGGTTGTTTTCAATTAAATTGAAGTTTCATACATTTTTTTAAATTGAAAACTAAAACAAAGATTACTAAAAATACAATAAATGTATTATACATTTTTGTAAAAAGATGGAGATTATAAAATTCTAGGCCAAAGTAAACGGCTCTTAAATCCTCTTTGAAGGAGTTATTTTCTTGTAAGCTCGAAGACAATAGAATTGTAGCTTTGAAAAAAGACATTCCTTAGAATCCATTTTGCCCCGGGGCTCGGCAGAATACTTGAAAAATGTAAAAGATACTTGCGGGTTCCTTATGCCGCGAACGAAACCCAAACGGCTCAATCACGAGCCCATGGTTCAATGAAAGGCAGGGGCTCCAGGCAGATGCATTGTGGCATTGCCCGTGGCGACACGCATTCGAGGTCATAACCCAATTCCTTTCGTGGCCAGTTGGTGATGGCCAACTGCGAGATCCGAGCCGCAAACTGCAGTCTGCAAACGGCCAACAGCAACTGTATTCCACGGCATGGAGTCCAAGTCCACGATCGATGGGGTCCGCTCCTGGAGCCAATTGAAATTCGGTGCGCATTGCAATCGATCGCACTTTTTGTCCGACGATTGTCGTCGTATGCCTGCGATACTCGTTCTGGCCTTTCTAACGCTGTCTCCGCCTTCTGGCCGGGTTGGCTTCAAGTGGTGGTCTCTGCTGGCCGTGTCGCCCATCTTCATCATCGTCTTCTTCGGCAGCGTGTTGCATTTGATGAGGATGGGGTTCAGCAGTGGTCATCATGGCCTTCGCTGCCATTGTCATGATTTCTTGTCGCCGCCACACAGAGATTTTTGTCTGGCTTTGCCGCATGAATTTTAAATGAAAGCCACGGTCGCTCAAAAGCATTTCTCCGGGCACTTCCGGGCCGGAACTTTTCTGGGGATTAGCTATAAAGCAAGGACAAGGACTCGAAGGAGTCATCAATCTGTGGCGACCGCAAAGTGCTCATAACATGTGTGAAATTGACACCACAGATGCGACTCGAACTAACGGAAACGCCGGCAATTTTACGCTACATTTAGCTAATGACCGAAAACCCAAGGGCAGATGGTCCTACCTTCCCTTTTCCTGGTGGAGCCGTCTTCTAAAAAAATATATATATACTTATAGTGACTGGGCAACACCCCAAAAGGAATGACTAAAAAAAGGCAGACACCAAAGTGGCGTAAAGTATGTTCTTTTTTGGAACACATTAAGGGTGCGTAGTGGAAGCAAATTGTAATTGAAGGGCACTTATTTTATTTTTGGTTTCGGTGTCGGTTTTTCTATCATTAAATTGGACTGTCATCAAGTCGTTAAATAAAAGTAGGGTGGCTTATTATGTTTATTCCTTGGCAATATTTTAAATGGACTTTTCTGTTTTTTAACTATGTTGGTCATTTAGTTCCGTGTATAAGAATTTTTCGTCTCTTAGAACTTTAAATGATGTAGAACTATTAAAGGCTTAAAATCAATACCTAAATATTATTATAATAAATCATTTATTTATAAAATAACACTAAACACTAATTCTAATTGCAATCAATCAAAGCTGAAATGTTTAAACACAACTATTTCCTTTTTTACTCGATGGCCAATTAAAAATTCACGCATTTAAATCCAAGCAATGCAAAGCCCAAGCACTCGGTTAAAAAACGAATTCTTAAGCGGATTCGTTTCATTTTCACATTGCAAATAAGATTAACCAATTTGAGTCAAAACCACTTTAATTATAGAGCTTCGAGCCGGCCGGCTGACAAGTGGCCAACTACAATTGGCCAAATCGAATGTTGGGAAGGGGTTACCAGAGATCCGCGGCACGTACTGGCTATGGGCGCTATGGGGGCCAATAAGGTGTAAATTTATGCGCCAAAGTCCGCGTTGTAAGCAAGTTGGGCCGAAATCGAACCATTAGCAAACCGAGCCTATGCAATTGATGATTGAATTCTTCAGAATGCTCAGCAAAACGCACATTTTTCGTATGCCTTTGGATGATTGGCATTCGAGAATGGTTTTTTTTGTGGTTTTGTAATTACCTACGTCTGTGTGAATTTTTGTGGCCAATCAAAGTTTTTGTTCGCAGTTTTGATTTGCTGCTAAGATTCGCAGCGTAATTGTGTCTCATGGCTAACTTGTATTCTATGAGATACTTTTTTGCCGCTGTTCCCTGAGAGTTTCGATTTATATACGGGTATGTATAAAACAAGTGTTTTGGTTTAATTATTTTCATGTCTCACAAG